TGATTCTGGATTCTTTTGAACAGCGTTCTCACACAGCTTCGTTTGTGAGCCACTGCGTGGTTGCTATGAAAACTGAGAAGCTGTGTGATGTTCGTCGCCTTCCTGTAAATTCCCGGTTCTATTTTGCCGTCGGGGGTTCGCCTGACGAGTACGTCGAGGAAGGGTAGCTGCTGATCCTTCTCTTCTTCCTTAGTGAATTGTATATCTGGGAAGATCGAGTTCAGAAGATCATGGAAACTTTGCGGCCTATTCCTTTTGATAATAAAGAACGTGTCGTCAACGTAACGAAGCCAAAAGATCGGGGCTGTTGGGTGAAAGTGGCCTTTTCCAGCTCTTGCAGGACCAATTCCGCTATTAAAACGGAGATTGGAGAGCCCATCGGAGTTTCCTTGATTTGTTCTTAAATTACTCCAGCAAAAGTGAAGTATGTCTTCTGGCAAAATTCGAACAGCCTCATGAGATGTTCAATTTGGAGTTCTGACTTTTACAAACCTAGGGTCCTGGGCTTCGCGCACGCAGGCATCTAACACCCCATGGATTAGAATAAGATAGGCAGTATCTTCTCAATTACTTCCTGGGACTCGTATGTTTGCTTGTATAGGCGGTATTTCCTCCTTGATGCACTTGTGCATCATATGTTAGCCCGGAGCTGCAACCTACAGTTTTGGAAAATCCACCAACATTTGGCGATTATAGAACTATAACACATCCCATCCACCCACGCTCTCTCGAATACATTTGTGTCAGCACACTTGAAAGAAATGGAAATGCATTGCGTTACAGCTGCTGCACTTTCGATGTCTCAGGATGAACGGATACCCGAGAAAGTACGTCAAAGGTGGATTAGCGCTCACCGATCAGTTAGGGGACTCACCCATCCCGTTTTGCCCTGAGGCTCTTTCTTGAGCTCCGCCAATAGTCGCACGGTGCTAATGATATTGGCAGAATTATACCCCGACAAAAATGTGGGAGATTGGAATGGCCATTTCTGGCTCATTAGCCGTCATCAGTCAGCCATACCCAATCCCAGGTGTTGCACCACCCGATGCTCTGACCCGCAACCAGTTGATTAGAATTCCAACGCTCTAACCATTGTGCCACGTGCTCGTCAGTCAATACAAGCCATACTGTTTGCTCAGTTATGACATCAGTATGCGTTGACATAAATTCACTGTATAAATTGATCCAGGCAATCGATTGTTTACGTCATTTGGAAACCCTTCCATCTGCGGTAACTCGAAAGATCGCTACATATACTGTAGTTGAAAAATGGACACTGAATCGGCTTTCCCGTTCCCCTCCTCTCCTGCCATGAACCAATGGTAGAGCCTTAGGCCAATTGGAAATAAGCGCAGGCCTCCTGGTTAACCAGGCGTTTTGCACCCGTCTGTTGTGTAGTTCTGGGGCGTCCATAAGCTGTGCAGGAATCAAGGGGACCGAGCATACCAGGCTCAGCTCAGTTCAGTTTATCAACGGAAGGGTAAGCGAATGCCTTTGAACTCCCATTAGGTTACAAAGTATCTTAAAAAATCATCGATAAATAAAGATACTCGAAAAGGAGAATTTTTGTGTAATTGCATGCGACGAGTAGGCAACTATCTGCTAGTCGAAACGGTACAAAGTTTTACGTATGGACTATTATTTTTGTTTGTCATGTCTCCCGCTGTCCAGCATTCAGTTTTCTCTTGCTGATCTATTGCTGCGTGTGTTTGTAGTCTGACGACGAATCCCATGCGGTCCTCATCTTATGCACTTTTCTATTTCAGTTTCTGAATGTACTAGCTGAGACAGATCGGATATCTGCGTTCATTTCGTAAAAGACAACAGAGCACTTAAACGGCCTGTTCTTGATCGATATGTTTTCCATCATTTTCAAGGTGTGTTACCAACAAGTGGAGATCATCATAAGCCAGATTCGTCAGTAGTTTGGAGTAGAGAAAGGAAATCCTTTTTCGTTTGACTTATAGTTTATTTGAGTGTTTCCTATTTACTTTTTTGGCGCTCACACCAGCAGCTGGAAAGCTTAAAGTCCTTCTTATAGTCCTTAACACTCGAAATATGATGATCTCCCGCCTCCCCCCGCAGATTTTTAGCTAACGTTAGTACTGCTATCGACTGGTGAACGTTTATAAACATTATTTACTTTTCAGCCCATCGGTCAAGCCGAAATAGGTAACCTCTGCTGCTGGAGAGTCGATTCGGACATTATGTACCTTTAAATTTGGCTTTACCGCGCCAATCACGTTACATGATACCACAACTCCCTGGTCAATTGTAGTCATTATGTGAGCTTCCCGCTCTTATGCTATGATTCCTCCGTCAAGCAATATATACCGGATGCCAACTTTAACAAAATCCTCTTCGTCTTTGGCACTACTCTCCTAGTGATCCCAAGAAAGGGCTTCTTAGTACATCTAAATTATTTCTTAAGTTTCTCCTTTCGTTGCATGTCGACTTACTGTTTGCTTTTTGGTACACCACAGACAAAAGCAAAAAGTCGATCGGAAGGGGCAAAACCCTACAATCTGGAGAAGAACCGATACAAAAACATCTTGCCCTTCGACCCTACCCACGTACGCCTCCTAGACGGTGACCCCAATATCCTTGGATCCGACTATATCAACGCCAACTTCATTAGATGGCCGGTATGTATATTTATTTGTGTCTCATCGTGTATCATCTGCTTGCCCTTCTTAAGTGGGAAAATGCTCACAACATACCTTTCTGTAGTTCATCAACGGGCCTTCGGGTTTTTACAGTGGAGGTGACTTCGAGCAATGGCTGGAATGGTTTTCCTCAGCTCCCTCGCCAGCACCCGAGACAGGCGATCTTGTCACAACCCGAATTTCGTTAAAACTGAGGGCACACTACAAGGAGAAAAGGCGTTCACCGGGAGAGGTTTATTTTTTTTATCTGATGTTTCGGATAACTGTCCCGTCTATCCATCCTCAGTGAGTGAATACTCTGGCTCCTGGTTCTCGCGATATGCAGCTCCTTTCTTCCGCGTGCGTAGTCTACCAATCCAGTTTGAGCCACTCTCTGTGGTTCGTGTCTCTAGGTGGTAACCGCACGCCGCCCCAACCGCCTGGTAAATAAACACTGACGCCCCAGTTGAGAACAGTATAAACGCAGAGCAGAACGCGGGTGAATGTTACCAGACTTTTGGGGCGGCTTGCGGTTACAACCTAGAGACGCAAGCCACACAGAGCACCTTAATCTGGATTGGTAGACTACGCACACGGATAAAAGGAGCGGGATATAGCGAGAGGCAGGAGCCAGAGTATTCACTCTATGAAGATGGATAGATGGGACAGTTATCCGAAACGTCAGATAAAAATAATAAACCTCTCCCGATGAACGTCCTTCTCCTATCTGGCTCACTAAAGGCTTAACAATTAAACTGAAAAACCAACCGAACAAAAGTGCAACAG